CTTAAAAATAATCGTTTTTATTGACATGTTCAAAGCTTTTACTTTTCAATTTATCGCCAAAAGTTCATTTTTCTTTGATTTTTTATTCATTTTTTATACTATTTCACAAGCTCGTTCACAAGTAGAAATTATTGACATTCTTATTAGAATTATTCTCGAAAGATTTCTACCTTCCGTAATAATTTGTTGAAAAGAAAATGACAAATGAACAAAAACTGACCAAAAATGATTTTTATCAAAAATATATCAATCCCAAACTTCCAGAAAAATCAAAATTTCAAATTAACCATAGGCAATAAAAATAATATGGTACATATTCTGGGGGTTTGAAATCAACAAGAATAAAATTTTCTGTGGACATATCTACTGTATATCTCTGGGCGAGGGGTAAACCACTGATTTTTTAAAATTAAAAATCTCTTACGAATTAACAGCTATGGATAACAATAACAAGGGTAGTCATGTACAACGCGTCGCTAAGCACTGATTATGCACCGATTAAGCACCAATTAAGCAAGTTTTCCTTATTGATAACGATTGATAAGGAAAAAAATCTCAACACAACGTCCACTAACATTGAACGGTTGTCTCTAAGATTTTAAAGTGGTTTACCCCTCGTCTCTGGGTCATCTGTGAGCTGAAGCTGGCAACCCCAATTATGTACTTCATCCGGGGACAAACTAAATACATTTTAGGATAAATATTTGTATAATAAATGTACATAAATGAAGATGACATCAGGGTTGTAATTAAGCATATCTAATACTAGAATCATATTGGCCATGAATACATAGGGGTAAGTCCACGTCAGATCAAACAGTGTTGTTCACCACACCGTCTCAGATTTTTCTCAAATGTTGTGTAGATGATATATAGACTAGGATTACATTAAATCTTAATTTTGAAGGTTCTACGATAACTAATTACCGATATATTAAATATTTTAATTTTAAAAATTTTAGCAAGATGCGATTTTTGTTTTCTTATTTTCTTAAATAACTCCTTACATGCACAAGTTATTTAAGTGAAAGTTTGTTTCCAGGGGTAAATTTTTAAGCTAATTTATAAAAAATAATTAAAAATTGTATTTTTTCCATTGTTTTAGCAAGAGCAATTGCAATGTTGCATTTGCTTGAAAAAATTCAAAAAAAAATTTCGGCATGTTTGATCAGGAGCACATGTTTTAAATTTTTTATTTGTTATTAAGATGGTACACTACTACTTTTAGAAAAAAAATCATATTGGCTTTCTAACTAGGAGCTGAGAAAAAAATTAATTAAAAACTTTCATGGGACTAAAACCGGGCGTTTTTTTTCATATCCAATAGCTTTATTATACATACAACATTAACTCAAATCATAAAAAAAAAAATTAATGTAAACATTTTCTATTTTTAAGAAACCATAATATATTATAAAACAACATAATAGAAATATAACAAACATAATAGAAATATAACACAACTAAAGGAAAAAGTTATTTTGCAGCTGATTTGAACTTATTAAATAAAAGAGTAATACTTTTACTCATATCGCTATCAAGAACATATTGTCGTCCAGTGCTACCTTTCACTGAAGGTGCTGGTATCACACATAACACGTGCTCAAAAGGAACGAAGCAACTATCTTCTCTAGATGGCCAGGATAACACATTATTGTCTTTATGTCTTTGCATAAAATTTATAAGCAAGTCTGTTTCATCAAAATGTCTTTCTTTAATACAGCCAATGAACCAGTTGTCATCGTATACTGCAGCTACATAAACTCCCGGTTGCAATTCGTCGATATCTATATTCTTTTCATGTTTTTTTCTGACAGTAAGACTAACTTTAAATCCTGAATTTTCATCATCTGACGACAATCGATACAGAATCAATTCAGAATTATTTATTGGAACAAACCTGTGATAACTGCGAGTTCCAGGCACTGTTTTCGCGCTCTGAAAACGAGCTTCCAAGCTTTTGGCGTGTTGCTGAACATCAGCATGGGACACAAAGAAAAACTTTATGTTATGTATGTTACAATTAGCCCAGTTAAATAAATCAAGAGGAGTAAGAATGTGGTTGTCCAGTGTGGCCTGCAAACTTGCACGAGCTGCAAGTCTTTTTACCGTGCCGCCAATTCCATCACATGGACTTTTTCCATGTGAAGTGGCAAAGAAGTTCCATTCAGCAGGGACGTTGAAATCTTTTTTATGTAAGCATAAATTAATGAAGTTTTTATAGTTTTTATATTGTGCACTTGAACCGTCACTAAAATAATGAATGTATTGTAAATCTGGTAATTCTTCTTTAATATGTTGTATAATTACTTAAAGAAAGTAATGAACTGTGGAGGTAATGTGTTCACGTTCATCACTAATAACACACATACTAAAGCATTTTAAATCTGTCTGGTTTTTACTCCTGAAGTAAATTACGAATGGGTGAAGTGTGGCTTGTGTCGTATCCCAATGGAAACCTTGAATGGCATCTTGGCAAACAAAAGAATAATTTTCTGCAAAGTCTAGTAAAACGATTACTTCTGTTTCAGCTGGAATATTTTCTTTAAGATTTCTTAAGTAGGATACTTGTGATTTTGCAGTAAAATGATGTGTTGTTGCTTGATCTGCTGCCTGCTGCCACAAAATCTTCAATAGTTGATGTCATATTCACTAGTGTTGATTGTCCTTTGTGGACCCACTGCTTATAGGCAATATTGTCATCAGTTTCCAAATCATTTTCACTAAATATATCCAGCATAAGCTGCTCCAAAGCTTCAGACCCTGGGCAATTCTCACATCTGTGAAGCATACAATTTCTTGAGTCCACAGAACATACTATAGTGGAGAGGATATTTTTGTATTCAATTTTCTTGGGTAATGCTGCTGTCAGTAGCTTCAAGTTTTGGTGAGTCTCGCAAACACATACTGAATGAACTCCTCGGGCAGTGACTGTAACGCACCAAGGTGGTCGTAAAGAAGAGAATTTTGACAAACCGATTTTTAGCTGTGGATATCTTTCTTGAAAAGCCAAATGCAGTTCCTTTAAATTTACAAAAAGCAGTCGCTTTTGCATGTGAGTTCTTTTACCAGTTTCCGAATCTCTGACTGACACAAATTCATTCTTTCCAGGGCACATTCTGGAAAATTCATCATCTTCATAGAATTGCCTTACTTTTTTAGATACCTCATTGGAAATTGATTTTCCTTTCAGCTTTTCTGGTTCTGCCAAAATACCGTAATCCTTTTTAAGTTTTCTAGCCTTATTGACCATGTATGTTGAGACACCAAATTCATTAGCGGTCTTCTGAATGCTCCAGCTACTCAGTACAAGAGTTAGTAATTTTAGAACTTCTTGTCCACAAGAAATTTTACATTTTTCTTTTAAGAGTTCAATCAGACAGTTTAAATCTTCACAGCTGGTACACTGCTTTTCGTTGGTTTGAGACAGAGTCTCTAGAGGAACATTTAGCGATGTTGAAAATTTCTCCTGCAATAAAGAAATTGCCTCTGCTGATTTTCTTTTTGCATAACTTAGTCGTTGTTTTTTATTTACACCATGCAACTTGACAGGTGTGCATCCAAGATTTGTGATACTTTGATTCAAAGCTTCAGTGCCATCTGAATCAAAAAATGCCTCTGGTTCACTTTCATTCTCAATATCCTCTTTAGAAATAGTCTCATTGTTCAAAGCTTCAGTTTCTGCCATCCGAGTTCGACACTGAGGACATAACTTTTGCCCTGGTTTAAGATTAGTGTGTTTTTTTGCAAATTCCAATGACACAGATCTCAAACTTTTCTTAATGCCTCTAGTATGTGACTGAAATGGATCACAACAGTATCTTTGAAGTTGCTCATATGTCGAAAGCAACATTTTTTCATGGTGAATACAAATGGTTGTATTATTATCAAGTTGTTTTCTTGAAATTTCAGACCTAAGTGCAATGATTTCTTTTTGCTCCTCTGTAAAACTATTCCATTCAAAAAATCCAGTTTGTCGTAAATAACTGGTTACGTGACATTCAGTCTGCAATATGTCACCAAATATGCAATTTGACAGTGTATATGACATTGTTATATTGCTTGTTAGTACCAAAGTTTTATTATCGCACTAAAGAATTAATGATGGATCCACGCAACACTATTTTGTTTAATGTTATTGTTGGTTTGTTGATATTTTTTATTTTGTTTATATTATTTTTACTTAATTTTCAGTATTTATATTTACGATATTTGAACAAGTAATTATTGTTAATATTATATAATAGTGATAAAAATAATAATAATTATAATACACCGGCGGCGCGCCGTACAATAATGAAAATGTCATTATTATTGTACGGCGGAGCTGAAATGAATAAAATGTCAATCTGTCATTTGAACCTTATCTAAAAAAAATTCAGTCCTTTGTCAAGGAGAGTTGTCAAAGTTTTCTTGGCCTTGAAATAAAAACTAAACTTAAGTTTTTTGTCACATGAAAGTACAATAATTTTTTTCTCAGCTATTAGGTGGAAAGCCAAAATGATTTTTTTTCTGGAAGTAGTGGTATACCATCTCAACAACTCATAAAAATTTAAAACGTGTGATCCTGATCAAACATGCCGAAAAAAAAATTAATATTTTTTTTAACAAATGCAACATTGCAATTTCTTATGCAAAAACAATAGAAAATACACAAATTCTGATTAATTTTTTAAAATCAGCTTTAAAAGTTACCTCTAGAAACAAACTGTCACTTAAATAACTTGGGCAGGTGGGGAGTTATTTAAGAAAATAAAAAAAACATAAATCACATCTTGCTGAAATGTTTAAAATTCCAATAATTAATTTATCGGTAATTAATTATCAAAGAACCTTCAAAATTGAGATTTGTGGTTATCCTAGCCTATGTATCATCTGCACAAAATTTGAGCAAAATCTGAGTCGGTGTGGTGAACTTTTCTTATTATTGTGTTTGATTTGACGTGGACTGACCCATAGGTATCATGGCTGTGCCATGGATTGCTAAGATGCAGACCTACCTCATCTGTAACCTGTCCGGCCTTGAGTTGAAGTTCCTGAAGTTCTGTTCTGGGAGCCCCATTTTCCGCGGCGCCCTGAGCTGGAGCTGGTGCTGCTGGCATTTTGCTAGGACAAACCAACGCAATCAATTAACAAATCCACGATTTAACAACAAAAAATGAATTTATCGCCCTAGCGGTCTTTTTGTATGCGACTGTACATTGTTCACAAGAAATCAATAACTCCCAGACGGGTGCGGAACACGGAAAAACCGTACTTTAGAAACAATTGCCGTTTAAAGGCTTACTATTTCGTAAACTGTTAAAAACTACAATAAACACTCATTGTAATACGGTTTAAACCATAAATTTGCTGTTAATGTGTATTTTGTTTGCCTGTCAAATCACTCAAAATATTGGTATTGAGACAACTTACACAGATAAATAAGATAGGTTATAATAGAAGTTAGCAGAAGAGGTTGCACGACACAAATATTAATAACTACACTGAAACTTTTTATTTTACATTCATCTGATACTTTGACAGCAAAAACTGTCAGTAAGAGGGGTAAGTGCCCTGGGAACAAGATATAAATGACGTTTCGTTGTAGTAATCAGTGTTGCCAGATGGAACCACAGAAATATAATTCTGTGGAAGGAACGGGATAGATGTATAAAAACATTTTTACCAGTAGTAGAAAAGATTTTTAATTTTATTAAATGTGCTATGTAGCGGTAGAAATTGCTGTATCTGCGTTAGAACGGTAAAACATTAAAACGGTTAATCTGGCAACTGCGGTCGTAACGTCTAAGCGCATAATCCGATTGGATTTTGTTTGTGAGCGGGCAAATTTGAAATGTGCTAAGCGTTCGGTTTATGTCTGTTAATTTTTTATTAAGGCAAAATTGCTTTATTGTTTGGGCAAATCACAGTACATAAGGGGAAACTTCCCTGGGAATCGCATGGGTCATATACAAAATTGAAAAAGTGAGACAACATGATACAGGGTGTTTCACGTCCGTGGCCCATTGAAAGTTTCTGGCGAACTGAAAAAGATATAGATTTGAAATTTTAAAAGCGTTTATAATTCATTTAAATCTTTTTTTATAAAATATTTTAAACAAAGTTCCACTTCCTGTTTAAACGGAAGTGGCATCAACTTTGTTATTTCAAATGGAACACCCCCATATATTTTTACATTTTTAAATTCTACATTAAATTCTGAATAAAAATTACTATACCATGTCCTATACCTAAGGTTAATAGTTTTCGAGCTATTCATTTTTTTCGTTAAAATTTGACAAATGCGCGTCAATCAAAAATAGCCTATAACTTTTTTGTTATTATAAACCTATAGGTTTGCGGATATATGGGTGGAATTTTTTGAATCTTAAAACATTGTTTAAAAGATTCCATGTTAATTTTAAATATTTCTCAACAAATTACTTGAGAAAAACCATGACAAATTAGGCTAACTTGAAACGTTAATAACTTTTTATTTTATACTTAAGGTTAATAGTTTTCGAGCTATTCATTTTTTTCGTTAAAATTTGACAAATGCGCGTCAATCAAAAATAGCCTATAGACTATATATAACTTTTTTGTTATTATGAACCTATAGGTTTGCGGATATATATTGAAACGTTAATAACTTTTTATTTTAAATGTAACACCCTGTATATTTTTACTTAATCAAATATAAAATAAAAAACCTTTCGATTGATATAACTATTCCCTATACCTAAAGTTAATAATTTCAAAGATATTTAACAATTTTAAATATTATTTTGTACATATTGTATTTATGGTTACACGTAATCTAAAATTTAAAAGAAGTACTAAGAAACCGTGTTCAGGCTGCTTTTCAAGAATTAGACCCAGAAGAGTTGAGAAGAGCAACGTCTAATGTGGAAATAAGTGTCCTCCATTTACATTTAAGCATTTTTTAACTCTTATTTCCACATTAGACGTTTCTCTTCTCAACAATTTTTATTAAGTACTTATTACGTACCTATCTAATTTTTAATAAATGTTCAAATTTGAACATTTATTAAAAATTAGATAGGTAATAAGTAATAAAAATTGTTTAATTAAAATATTGTTGGTTGATTCAATTTTTACAGTTACACATTCTTTTAGTAATTAAAATATTTCATAAATATTAAACAAAGTTTGCATAATGCATTTTGCAAATTGCATTTTATTTTTTATTATCTCCAATGAGCTTCATCTAGTTAATATATTCCAGCTTTGTGGATTTTTTTAAATTAGCAAATACTGTTTGTATTACTTTTAAATTTTAAAAATGTTTAGAATTGTCAAATTTGACTTAAGTTCCCAGACTGCAATGAAGGTTCGAAAATATTCCAGGAATATTCCCTATCGCCTAGGAATAATCCGCTTCATTCTAGGAATATTCATTGGGAATATTCCTAGAATGATCCTCTAAAACTTCCAAGCATCATCTAGGAACATTCCCAGTGAATATTCATTAGTTTAGTTGCAATACCTCTCACCGTTGCTTACGCACGCTTGATAACTATATATACCGATAGGTTAATAATATCAGTTGGAGATGTGCGTCTGTGATGGCACAGCCAAACAATGATTAGAGTGGGACTGATCTACTCAGTAACTCAATAATGCCTATACTTAAGTTAAGTTCCTGGTTATAAGAGGCAATAAGGGCGGGGAATAATCCCCAAATTGTATCAAGGAATATTCCCCTAACAATCCTTGAGTCTTCTGCAGGCAGATATATGGAATATTCTTTTTATGATGCCTGGGTTAATCAAAAAACGGACATTTGATTATGCCAGGAATATTCCTGGGAATATTCTGGGACGATTGGAATATTCCTGGCATGTGCAGGGAATGTGATTTTGCGGTCTGGATTACTACCTCCTATTTTTTATCATTAAATGTTAAACAATGACAGATTACATGGTAACCATTAGTGATGTAGGGTGGGAACGTTCCCTTCGTGCTGTGGCGAATATTCGCGAACGTTCGCGCACAATTAAATCGTTCGTGCGCGCATGATAGATCGTTCTTTCGTGTCCAAACGATTTATCGTGCGCGAAGTTCGCGCCGCGAACGTCCTCTAGAGAATTTTCAGCACGATTCTGGCCAATCGGCGCGTTTCATCCGCGTGACCGCGTGTATTGCACATAATACAGCCCATAGAAAAAGGATATAGCCCTGGTAATATCTTCAAATAGTTAACAAACATGCAAAAACTACTGTCGGCAACGGTATCACAAAGACAAAGCGGCGTCGGTTTTCCGTATATTACCGTCGGTCTCTTTTGTGGCGATGCCAACCGTAGTTTTTGCATGTATTTCTATGCGGCTGTTACGTTTTAAAAATATTTTGACTAAGGTCAGTGCTCGGGTCAGTGTGTGTGATTATAGAGATTGGGTAGTGTTATTTTTTTTTTCCGCGGGAAACTTAAATATTTGATTTAATAAATATGCCCAGAAGAAAATGCGAGGCATTTGATTTTTTTTTTTCATAAAAAAAAGAGATGGTAAAGACGTTTATTCTTGAAAATTTTGTAATTGTGAATACAGCCGGAATGCCACACGAATGGCAAATCATTTGACAAAATGTGTAAATTAATACTTAAGAAGCGTTAGGAGAATTTTGAGCATTTTTAGTATTTTGAGCATTTTCGGAAAAAACAGGAAAAGTAAGTTTTTGAATACTTATCACACCCCAAACATAAATTCTCGGTTTTTTTCGTTTATGCTCGTTTATTCTCGTTCATGCTCGTTTGTGCTCGGGGAACGTTCTTCTAAAATACGTGCTCGAGAATTTTACATCACTAGTAACCATAGATACCTTCATCTCACTCGTCAAAGGTTTCTTAATACAAAATAATATTTAAAATTTTAGAAATTTATAAAATTTTAAATATTATTTTGTATTAATTAATTGTTAAATATCTCTGAAATTATTAACTTTAGGTATAGGGAATAGTTAAATTAATCGAAAGGATTTTTAATTTTCTATTTGGTTATCTAAAAACATATAGGGTGTTACATTTAAAATAAAAAAAGTTATTAACGTTTCAAGTTAGCCCAATTGGCCTGGTTTTTCTCAAGTAATTTGTTGAGAAATATTAAAGAATTAATATGGAATCTTTTAAACAATATTTTAAGATTCAAAAAATTCTAGCCCCATATAAAAATCGATATAAAATACTTAAGTATTTTATATGGTAATTACCAACTGAATAATAATATTATAACGTTGAGCGACTCATTAATCAATGATTATACTATTTGCTTGTTCAGAATAAAAAACAAAATTACATTAAATGTTTATTTTTTATTTAGTACACAATCAGAGAAATAGGTACACCATTTACAACAAGATTGCTACTACAAATATGATATAAACAATGTCTGTTTGTTTGTTGTAGGTGTTTTAATGATAAGGTAAATAGGTAAGGCATGTAATGTAATGTAGGAAACTTTGGTGCAAACAGCCAGCTGATGAATACCTATTTTTTATTGTTTGTTGGGAGGGAGGATTGATATGCTTTGGCACAACATTGTAAGCATAAATACTATGATTTATAATTATATTACTGCATCAAAGAACATATAATATATAAAAAATATAGCTAAAATCAGTTATCAATCAAGTTATTCTAAAATATTTGCTACTTTACTAAAATGATGTCTATGAAAAGCAATAACCCAATCAGACATTTTCCATCGCGGTGGAGAATGCCATCTTCTGATTGGTTTATTGCTTTCTGTAGACATCATTTTCTATAGAAAGTAGTCGTAAATTTAAAAAAAATCAAATAACATTTTCAAAAAAAACTTTAAACAATATAAAAAAATCAAGTAGGTATATTTATAAATTCCACGAACAAGTTTCAAGATGTTTCAAAAAAATTTAAAGATATTAAAAAAATTAGAAATATCAAAAATTAAAGAAATTTCATAAATTTCAAGATAATTTTTTTTAAATTTTATAAATATCAATAAATTTAAAAAAATTAAAAATCTATAAATTCAGTTAAAATTTTTTTAAAAATTTCAACATTTCAATGTTTTAAGAAAGTCCAAATACATATATATGAAATTTTCAAAAATTAATAGGAATTCGGTAATTTTAAAAATTAAAAAAATTCAAGATATTTAAAAATTTAAAAAGATTTATTATTTAAAAAATCGGAAATTTTCAAGATATTCCTTTTTACATTTTTAAAAATATTGTGAAGTTAAAAATTTCAACTAAAAATATCAAGAAGAATTTAAAAAATGTCTTTGAAATATAACTTTATGTCTATCAGTGAAGCTTGTAATGAACAAAAGCGAATTATTTATTTAATCTACAAAAGGAAAAAGTTTGGGTAGGACCAAAATCTCTGACAATCTTCTGAAACAGTTAAAACAGTTTAGTGCTAACACAGATTTGTGATATAGAGATCTAAACATTTACTAATATTAGCCTGAATATTTGTATTTATTTCTTTATATCTACTCTAAGCTTCACATTAATAAATATCTAAAACATTACATTTTTATTTACTTCTTTTTAACAATTTACACATTTCTTCTTTGGAAATGTAGTTTTAAATATACTAATTAGTTATTATGGCAGAATAACTTAACTTAAAGTTAAACTTGCACACGTTTGCATCCCTACATAAATAATCTGTAAGTACTGCTTACATTCTAAACAGTCATGCTTAGTAACATTTTATTATGCATTTAAAGAACATTTAAATGCATCATCAAATTAATTATTACATAAACTATATGTTAAACATTTAAACACATTAAGAATAATAAATAAAATCTTTGGTAATAGTAAACAACCTATATAAAGCTCTGTTATTAAGTTAATGCACATTTCCCTAAATTTTTTAACATATTTTAATTATATCTGCTAAACTCTATTATAATTTACCACAATTTATTAGAATAAATTGAAAAAATCGGCGTTTTTTATTAATTTCAAAAAAAAGGTAGACATTGAAAATGACAAAAAAGGTAAAAAAAAGTCTGTCAAAAATTCAATGATTTTTTTGTAGTAAATTAAGTGGGTGTATTTTTTCAAAGTGAGTTTAACATTGTCCCTAAATAGGATTAAATCTTTTCTGATATTTACATAGGCCATACAGTGACTAGATTAAAGCTGGATAAAACATCCAGCAGCTCTGTTCCACAACTTCTTCAAAATAATACACATACCTAGGTAACCTTAACATACTTTTGCGGGTCGTGGAACAGAGCGAAAGACAAAGATCTAACTCATTGTTACAGTATACAACTCTTTGGCTTTTTTCACAATTCTGTTTGCCAATATCTGTGTTGTAAGTAATCTGGCAAGAAATTTTCCTTGCAAACACAACCAAGAAATAACTTACCTGTATTAATTAATAAATCAAAGAAAGAAATTGGGTAAATAAACTCTATATAATACATAACATGAGTAGGTACTGTTTGTTATATTTACGCCTCGCATAAAATGTCAAAAACTAAGAGACAGAGAGAGACAAAACAACAAGAACTGAAGCTGATGTTGTTTTGTTTTCGTATGTTTTTGTTTATTCGGTTGTGTAGCGGTGCGGGTTGTAATCCTTATTTACAATGGTGAAACCTCTGAACTCATCCTGGTTGATTGACTGCAGCACCTCCGGATTCACCGGAGTCAGCACCGGATCTTCTCGAGTGAATTCCTGGTCGAAATTCGCCACGTCTTTGCGACTCTTCTGCTTGAACAAAATCACGTTTTAGTAAGTGCGTTTTTAAGAACAAATACGACACAAATCTTATTTAGCTTTTGAGGATATTCATCAAACATTTAACTCGTATTTATGGATATTTTTGTAAAATTTCAGTAAAATAAACTCAACAAGGACAGTGAACCGTCAAAACCAGATTTGAAAATGTAAATAACTAAAGATCATTCAGGAATTTTAAAACTTAGTGAGAAATAATTTAAGGGAAATAAAACATTCTACAAAATAAGTCCTATAAAATTTAATGACTAGTTTTGCTGAAAAAGTAGAAAAGTTATGAAATTTACCGCAAATTTAACTTTAAAGTTAAATTGACCTTAAATAACTCTTTAAAAATGAGTTTCCTTTTTTGTAAAGCATCCCGGACAACATTCGTGATATTCATACGAACATCACGTCGTGATTTTCACAAATTTTATTCATACTGATATCATACGGAAGTCACCGCGTAATAAATGAAAATCATACGAACGTCACGTCGTGATTTTCACAAATTATATTCATACGGACATCATCCGGATGTCACTGCGTGAGAAATGAAAATCATGTCGTGATTTTTCATGCCATCGCTGTTTGCGATTGACCGATGGCACAAAAAATCATGTCGTGATTTTTTAAGCCAACGGTGTTTGAATAATCATTTTTGCGCCACGTTCGTACACTAAGAAAAATTATGTTGAATCAACAGTTTTTGATTCAATTGTTAACATACTTTTTCTTTCAAAGTACGAATGTGTCGTAAAAATGAATATCCAAACACCGATGACATAAAAAATCATGTCGTGATTTTTTATGACCAAACACCGATGGCATAAAAAATCACGTCATGATTTTTTATGCCAATCATGACGTGATTTTTTATGCCATCGGTGTTTGGATATTTATGTTTGCGCCACATTCGTACATTGAGAGAAAAAGTATACCCAGATAACATTTATGAATCATTAAAAAATCACTCGGTGATAATCATAGCGTGAGCTCACAGTGAGCTCACTAGGACATCAAATGCATTTCTGTGAAATCACCTGGACCTCACCTGGAGCTCATTGGCTGAATCATTGCTGAGCTCATCCTGAGTTCTTGATGAGATCATTTGTGAAATTAATTTCACAAATGATCTCATCAAGAACTCAGGATGAGCTCAGCAATGATTCAGCCAATGAGCTCCAGGTGATTTCACAGAAATGCATTTGATATCATGACATATGTCATAGTGCCATAATTTAAATTTATAACCTTTTTTTTCTCTTAACTATGCAAGTGCATCCCACACAGCAGTGACAGCACAACATATGTCAGAAATATTTCAATGTTTGGCTTTTAGGCAGTGTTGCCGTTTGCGATTATTTTACCTGAAAATCGGGTATTTTCAGCAAATATTATTGTATATTTACCAAATTATTTTATTCTACCCTCTTACCATCCTTCAATTTTATTAATTTTTAAAAATAAAACGGATACGGTAGAAAATTTATAAACAAAACATTTTTCTTACCCTGGCAAGTAAAATAGGGTATTTTGTTATTTTTGGTCGGGAACTTTTATGAAATTCATCCGGCAACACTGCTTAAAGTGACGCTTTCTATGCTTTCTTGTGTGTAACGGTTTTTTTGTTCTCTAAATCCTTTTTCTATGCTCTAAATAACAATAATAATAAAGAATATTGTGTATGGTGTAAACTTAAAGGAAAAACGTATAAAAAAGAAGTACCCACTCTGGTAAGTACCTACATATTAACAATGTTTTTCTATGGTTTTGACTTCACTCCAGTACGCTCAAAAACATTTAGGTTAGGAGGCATTGCCGAGGCAACTCTAATCATATTATACCTACATTTTTTTTGTTTGTGAATTTTTTAATAACAATTCAGATCAATATTTTTACACATGCAGTTTTAAATAAAATTGAAAAAGAGTTTAGTAACCCTGTATAGGGTACTTTAAAAATGTTGTAAGTGTATTTTTATTATTTTGATAACATTGACTTAGGTAAATATTTGTTTTAGGTTATTTTCCTAAAAGGAATCGGGCAAGGCACTTCTGTAAATGATGCCACTACAAAAATTTTAAATCATTTGGTGAAAAATGAAGTAGCTGTACAGTCCACATTTGATGGGTAAAAAAAACAAAAAGGGTTTTAAAGAACTCATACTTCACAAAGTAATCTTAAGTAAGTAAATTAAAGAGATATTTAAAATGAATATTACATTTCCCTGACCTCCTGAACTCCTTCAGGGATATTTTTCCTGCCTTAAACAATTTCATCCGAACATAAAGTCTCGTGGCTCATGGAAATTGGCTCTATTTTTTAATTTGTCTTTATTCCAATGGAAACATTCTACCTATGTATGCAATTCTAGATCCATTGCTTTGGCTCGAGATCTGCATAACGTTTCCAATAGAATACAAACAAATAAAAAAATAGAGCCACATTCTATGGGTGTTCTCTTGAGAAGTGTGTTTAATTTTACTTATTAAATTTTGTATAGAAGGTATAGGGAAGGTGCCCATCTTTCTATAAAAGAAACTTCCTGATTTGCTTTACTATCAGCTAATGCTAAAATTATAGAGTAATGCTTAGGTACTTCATATTCATAATAATTATTTAAATGACAGAATATAATATATTATGTTAAATAAAATTTTTCTGCTCTTTTTACAAAAGTGGTTTGTCTTCACTACACTGAATCAAATGAAGATGAAATCAATAAAATTATAGAGAAGTGGCTAATACAAGGCGGCTTACACATTAACAGAGAGCAAGCGGTGAGTTTAAAATTAAATTACTTCTATATACTTATAAGTAATAAAATATTCTTTTTAGAAGAAGAATGAAGTCAACATGTAAACATATATTTTTTTATTTAATTTTTAATTTAAATTAAAAGAGCTTTACAATGTAGATTTTTTAAATAAACCATATAAATGTTTTTGAGATTTTATTTAATATTCCAGCAATATTTCCAATATTTCCAATATTTCCAGGTAATATTTCTGAAACATTACAAAGAAATGTTTCCAAGGGCGGACATTTTAATAAGTCTGAAACATATCAGAGATATTTCGGCAACATTTTGCAATACCACTGCAATATTTCTAATTTCTAAGAAACATTTCTGACATATTTCTGTGCTGTGTTATATAACAGTGTTGCCATGGTATATACCATAAGTGTTGCCAAGTTTTGGAAATGGATTTATCTTACCATGGCAAGGCTTAAAAGTTATCGTATTTTTAAATATATTTTTATAATTAATTTATGAATTATACTTGGTTAAGGCTTTTTTGTTTATCACGAAAGTTGAGTTATCCGGCTTTAGCATTAAGAGGCCTGGGCGATATAATCAGATCATTTTTTATTACAGAAGCTGCTTTAGATCTAAAGCTGTACCAGAAAGGCCAAGGGGCAAAAAGTGTTTTCTCGAATGATATAATATTTCGAATTATTAAGGGGAGCAAAACAAACTTACAGAAAGTTATTGCTCAATAAAAATAAAGAAATTTTAAATGATGGCAATTAATTGAGCAATGCGCTTACTGTACCAAAAATTAACTTGCATGTGATTATAATTCATTATGAAATCAAAGGGATGTCATTAATGATTTTACTTAAGGGACTAAAAACATTAAAATTAATTAAAATACCTAAATATTTATTTTCTTAAATAAAATATAAAATATTTAAAACAAGTTTTTATTAAAATTTTAAAAGTATCTTGCATCTGATTATTAATTTTTAATAAATAAAAAATGTATAAAATAAAAATAAATAAATAAATTAAACTAGATATGCTAATAATTATATAATTATTAATAATTAGCATATCGAGTTTATTTTATTTATTTATTTTTATTTTATACATTTTTTATTTATTAAAAATTAATAATCAGATGCAAGATACTTTTTAAATTTTAATAAAAACTTGTTTTAAATATTTTATATTTTATTTAAGAAAATAAATATTTAGGTATTTTAATTAATTTTAACGTTTTTAGTCCCTTAAGTAAAATCATTAATGACATCCCTTTGATTTCATAATGAATTCATCGTGTGACTCATTAAGGATCTCACATTGCTCATCAAAAGTGCAACACAGTGACATCACTGAATGAATCAGCAATGATTTCACGTTGATGTCACAACGAATTCATCGTGTGACTCATTAAGGATATCATGTTGCCTATCAAAAGGGGAACACATATGCGTGCCACAGTGACATCACTGAATGAATCAGCAATGATTTCACGTTGATGTCTTAAATGATGTCATAATTGTTATCTGGGATACCTACATATATATTGAATCAACAGTTTTTGTGGTTAAATACATTCAATATTTTTTTTTGAGTTAATTTACATCCAAGAAAATATTAAATGTGTTTGACCGCAAAAACTGTTAATTCAATTGTTAACATACTTTTTCTACTCCCACCTTTAAAACGCCCATTATCGTACATGTTTTCATGACACTAAGTGACCTTTTAAATACACATTGACAAGTTGTGGCTTTATGGCGTTTTAGTCACGGGCTGAAGTTAGCAACAGGTTTTTAGTCACGGGCTAAAGTTAGTTTTAAGTTAGTTGACAGTTGTCAAATGTCATACAATCGTTAAAATAAAGTGCCTTTCTTGTAAAATAATACTAAATGTGAAAATTATTATATTATTTCAATACAAAAATACAAAAGTATTAAATAGTTTCTCGACGCCAACATTTGAAAAGTTTATATGAACATTGTACTGACCTTTTAATTTCGCCGGCAGTAAACTAAAACTTAAATTCGGGCACGGACTCCACTGTAAAGTGCTCATAAAACATTTTCTTTACTTTCACTGTGAAAAACTGTCCATTTTCAACGAATACATTCGATTTATAACCTTTATAATCCATGATACAAAGATCATGTATGTATCATGTTTATAATCTGTGTTTATAAAATATAAAAATTTGACATTTGACGGTTGTTTTATA